CACTTCTGCTTTACCTTTAACCCTCTCTGAGCTCTAACGCACCTTTAAAAAAAGGTTTTAAAAAGGATATATCCTTCCTGTGTCAGTTTAGACGTGACCCTCTTTGGTCTCAATTATTGTCTGATGGGATTTCTAATGGTACCTCATGTCAGAGTGGGTCTTTTTGGCACATTTTATCGCACTCAGCCTTCACTGCAGCTGACAGCAGTGTAATGAAAAAGCTGGAATCAGCTGTCAGATGCATTTCATAGCATCTGCTCATGGCCTTAGGTTTATCTGAGGGTTTTATAGCAAACTGACACAAGGAGGTATAACTGTTTATTTGAAATTGGGGAAATGAGTAAAGTGGTTGTGATTGGATATGAGATGTAGAAAAAACTATGTTGCTCTACTCTCTGCTTGCCTGACTGTCCTCTAAGATTACTGCCCAAAACTTTCTCGCAAGAGTACTTAGCAATTAAAGGTGCGTGCAGTTAATAGGAAGCAACAATCATAGTTGTCTATTGCCAAATATTACCAATGAAATATAAATGAAAATTTTAAGCATTTGAAATTGTCCACACACGTTCAAGTTCAAGAAATCAAACAAATAACTGATTGCATTACTGTAAATACCTGTGAGTATTGTAAATATTCCTTCCAATTCCTTCTAAATCAATGAAACATGTAAACGTGTTTTACATATGAACTTAAATTATTGCATACTACTTGGTCACATATTTATATTTATCAATAAAGTGCATTTAGGCTCAAACATTTTGAATCATTTCATGCATGTTGGGCAAAAGAAATGGCTTTCATTTAAATTGGGACACTGTCAAGTCAAGTTAATGGATTTCAGCAAGTTGGAGGTCTGCGTGCAGCTCTCCATCAATGAAGTAGGAGGCGGCTGTCTGAATATGTGCCTTGTATACTGGGCAGCACTGGTGAACATGGGCAGCATGCTAACTGGAGACATGAATGTCAGAATAGTCTCAAAAAAAGACCTGACAGCATTTGTTGCTCTTTGCTTGGTTTCAGTTTGTTTGAATCTGACTTTAAACACCTGAAATGAGGTGTTAATATGCAGCTGATATGCCACTTCATAGGACGTGTGGAAACTGTTGCTTTGATGATTATTTATGAAATATTTTTAAAAGAACTCTTCTCAGGATAAACTGATTTTGTTTTACATCTTACCATGACAAAATCTAATCTATAGACATGCATCCCTCTATATATGACACTGACTTAGATACATGAAACACTCACGCTTGTTTTCCCTGCACAAGACCAATATTTTACCACGGAAACTCCATGTGAATAGTAATAGTCATTCCATACCAGAAAAGCAAGCAACATAGTCTATTATTTACTTATTTATTGTCAGTTTTGAATTATATATGCAACTATTCCTTCCAGTTAATTTACATTCCATATAAATTGCCAAAAAAGAAATCAGTTAATAAACAAAAAATCTTCTTTAATCATATGATACCAATCAAAGGTTCCACTGAGAACCATCTGTACATCCAAATCACGTAGTCACTGCATCTTCTGATCATTCAACAGATGGTTAGAAATGATTCACTTTTAACCATCTGAAGCCACATACATCATACTCTCATTAACTGTCAGAAGCTCTCAGAGCAGAGCAGCAGGCGCAGTTTAAAGTCACACTAGGTCTAGTCAATGTGGCCGTGCAGGATATCATTGAGTGCCCTTGACTATTCTTTCAAATGCTCTCATGATACACGTAACAAGCATTTCACTGCAAATCGATTCACTTGGTATTCACATGCAAATAAAAGTCTTGTGATTACACCTTAATGTGTCATGCTTTCTTGTCTTGAATTTTGATTAGGGATTAAAAAAAGAGAAATATGGAGCATTTTTTTACCCCCTGATCTATTTTTAAGCACAAAGTGTAGCAGAATTCCCTCGCCAGGAGTTGTGCTGTTGTTTGATTCAGGGCTGTATTACTCAGCTGTGGATGTGACTCAGACATGAAACTGCACTTCTAGGAGCAGCCAGTGTCTCTGCTTCAAATGAAAGATATAATGCAGCTGCATATTTTCCTTATGTGTGTCTCTCTTTCTTTTTTATCTCTCAATTCCTTTCTCGTGCATCAAAAGTGTGAAATTTACAGACAAAACAGTGACTATATCTCTAGCACTTATGCACAATGTAATGAGTGTAAATGGTGTCATTAGGATAGAAAACACATATCATTTCAATCCATATATTTGAACCTGTCTGCTGATTATGCTGAAGCAATTGCTGGAATGGTGGATTTTATGGCTGAACACTGGTCTAATCTGTTCACATAAAGGCCAGATTGGGTTAAATTCTTAAGTGCATTTATTGCTTTGAATCAAGAACAATGTGGTGCTCAAGTTATGCAGAGAGCTGCCAGGCGACTGTCTATTTTTGCAGAAGAGAAACCCAGCACATCTTGATTGGCGCTTGTATGGAGCGTGGGAAAACTCAGATCATTTATGTACTATTAAATGCAGGTGTCTATTATGATTGCCTATTTCTACATTTCTGTCACTGACTGACAAATGTGTAAAATCAAGAAATGGTTAAAATTAGGTTTTGTCTCTGTATAAATTACATTACATTAATTTGGCAAATGCTTTGATCCAAAGCGACTTACTGTTAATACAGTTAAACAGAAGTAAAATATGGCATTGTTTTTTACATGGCTCTGTTGGTTGGTCTACTTCACTGGTCCTTGCTGATCATCAGTCATTCATTCATCATTCAATCATTATACTCTTGTTACGGTCTTACCATAACATTATCTTGACATTTTTGTTGCGGAGCAGACCTGTCCATGGTGTATTACACAATATCAAAACAAACAACTTCCACTATGGCTGCTTATTAATATTCTCCGTTGGAAACCTTCTGAATCAGGTTTTGTTGATCTTCATCACTCATTATACACATTATTTCCTCTTTGAATTGCCACAGCAGTGCTTATGAAACCTTTCCAAAACCTGTTGGATAAACTTAAAAGACTAAAATCAAATATTTTTGTCTGAAGTGATTGAGGGTCCTCCAAACTGTGTATTAGAGGTATGAGATGTTCACTTCAAGCCAATAATACTCTTTAAATACTGCTGCAAATACATTTGAGAGGATATAAATCATTTGACAGCCCACAGCAAAAACAAACACAGCATTCCTGGACAGAAATAGATGGTCTTATTTTTATTTGTTCTGTGAGCAGTGCAGGATGTTTGCTTGAGGGCATGGGGAATACCATGCATCCAGGTCCATCGTTCCCATGATTCACATTATACATAAGTAGTCAGTCCTACTGGCAGAGACATGGACAAGCTGCTGTTCAAGTTAAAGCACAGAGGTTGAGGGTGAAGAGACTGGGATTAAATGAAATAATAAGACATGATGGAAAAGCTTATCTACAGTATTCATTGTCACTTCATGTTTTGGTTGCTGTGATCAAGTGATTTGTGATGTTTGAACACCGACTGTTGGGTAACACCTGCTGTGTATTAATATGATTAATGGGCAAACCTGAGAGAGCGTACAGTGAAATGCATTGTTTGCTCATTTGTTGGCATAAAGACATTAAAATGATCTATCAGTTTTCTCAGTGTGAGGTGGATGATTCATTTCATATGCAGTTCAGTGTTGCTGTCGCTGATTAAAAGTTGCCATGCATGGAAGACTCCAGTTACTCTGGATGCTCTGCACAATTTGACAGCCACTTTCTTCTACAACGCCATCAGTTAAAAATACCTACATCAAATACATCTAGCTTTCCAGGCTTTCAGCTGTGTGAAATTTCAGTATACGTATTTCATTATGTAGCCAAGATATTTTTGTCTGCCCATCAGGTATGGTCTAAGGTTTTGCATCTGAGCTTTACTCAGCTGCTGTCTTTATGCTACATTAGGACATACTGTATGTATCTTTCTATTTTGCCTAAAATAGCAATAGCTTGCACAATAAAGTAGAGACAGCTGCATTTTCACAAATGTCTACATTAAAGGATCACGAAACACAACAAATGCTTAGTATCTCAAATCTCCAATGAGAAAATTTACTTTCTACATGCTATGAGGATGTTTCATGGGGAAAAAGTTTTACTTTATGAGACACTCTTGCCCTGACATTGGGGTTGTGTTAAGTCAGCCAGTGTCTTCCCTGCCTTCCTCCTCTGCTTTCTTGTACTTCCTACGCACTGTGGCTTAATCACAAGGTCTGTACACAGCGTTTCGTGTATGGCAGGTTTGCGTCTGCTTCTCACCCACTCACTGAGTCTCCCAGGGAGATTAGGTATACGCACACCTCCAGACTGGGGTCCATTTCAAACTTTCACTATACTTTTCACTAATTGCCAACGGTTGGAGTGCTCTGTGAAAACAGTGATATGATAAATGCAATTTTTGCCCCCCTTGGTGGATAATAAAAAAAAAACAATGGTGACAAGACATAATTGTTTAATGTTTTTGACAAATACAGAATAGATATTGTTTCAGGCACTTTGTATCAAAGTAGGTAAACAAAAAAGAGGTAAACCACAAAGTTTGTGACAGACCGAAGATGTTTAGGATTTAGTTTAGGATGAAGGTGAGGAGGATGGATGATGTGGATGTTGTAGTACTGTCGCAGCTACCTGAACTTTGTGAGGTAATGCCTGCTATCCTCTCTTTTTCTTGGCTCCTTTTCTTCTTTTCCCACTCCAAGCAGCTCTGCAATTAAGAAAGCCTTTAACTCTCAGCCCTGATGCTTTTGTAAAAAGTCTTTGTTCTGCTGCCACATCAACAGCAACAGTGGTGGGTGGAACAGATCTTATATGATTTTTAAAATAAATTATGCCTTCTCCTTGCCTTAAGTTGTGTGGGAGAATAAAGGTGTAAAGATTTGACAAACTTGTCTTTTGGAAAAGCATTGTTCAAGTAAAACATTGCAAAACTGTCTATGCGTCATTTCAAGTGATATTGCAATGCATTCAGACATTGATAAACAGATAAGAAGAAACTTAATGAGGTTTTAAAATGTCAAAATGCACAGCATTTATTGCAATGTAATCACAAACATATTTAGCAAAATTCAGACACAGTTTTGACAAAAATAAATAGATTTTATGCCTTTTAAAGGCTTCATACTGTCACAGTAAAGTAAAGACACAACATCCTGATTTGCCAGTGTTGTCAAAATGAATCATTTTTACAACCCAGACATCACACAGCCGCTCATATGGCATGAGCTGGAATGTTAATTACACATCACTGAATAGTTGCTACCACATTCAAACAATATTTCACCCTGTTTTAGCCTGATGCAATACACTGTTGTGGTATTACAAAATAAACATTACTTAAAACTTCCTTACAATTTGACCAAACTGGATAACAGGCTCCATTATCACGCTTAATCACAGCACAGATTACCAAGAGAATAACAAAAAGGTGAAATATTTCCTCTGTTGTGTTTTGATTAAATCAGAGAGCTCACTGTCTAAAAGGCACTTTAGAACTCAGGCCTCACAGCTACAACATTAACATTAATGTCAATTAAACCATCAGTGTGCAGTACTGCTGTGCATACAACATGACTGTACTGTCAAAATCAATCCATCTATTTTATATAATGCATTTAATACATATACTACTTTATCCAGCCAGAGAATCATCATTGAGGTCAGAAGTTATGCCTGAAAAGAAATCCAGCCATTCATTTTAGGTGGAATGTAAAACGTCTCACATTTAAAGGCTTAAACACTGATTCCTTCAGACGAATTTAATTTACAACTATACTGACTTGAGGTAATACAAATACTCTAGTTTTAGTCTTGTGTTAATACATTAATGATTTGACCAAAGCTTCAACAGCATCAGAGAATTTTAATACTTAAGATTTAGTCTAGTGTTAGTCCACATATAAGTCCTGCTAATTAATTTGGGAGCGATAGCAGGTTGGAGATGTGGCTCACTATTATTCACATTTTGATGGCAGTTTGTGCCTCTAATGACACTTAAAACATTTAAAAAATGAGTCACCATAATATTGATGTCCATTTGACACAAATTTATCAGGAAGCTACAAAATGGTCTCAGAAAAAGATTATATTACACTTGTATTGAAATACTTAATGCCATAATCTGTACACACAACCTACAAAAGTGGTCGGTCTATTCTTTTTTAAAGGATAAGGCTATTTATATATTTTTCAATGAATTTATCCTACTGATTACTACCTGTGTAGCCAAAGCCTGATATAGCATCCTCTATAGAATAGACCTTCATTGTTGTCAAACAAAACAAGCTATTAAAAAGACATTTGTGACCCACACTGTTGCACTGGGTGACATGCTCCCTTATTAACATTACTATGTGCACTTATTTTGAGTTTACCCCATGTACAAAGTCCTGCTGCTGTGAATATTCACTAGTGTACCAAAACTGCTGCTGAACGTAGTCCCCTAAAAATGCACTGTTTAAGGAAAAAAATCTCTTTTCACTTAAAGTATTAATGTGGGACCTACTTTTAAGACTTATGTCCTCAGTAGAAAGATCAGTGAGCTTAGGGCTGAGTGCCACAGAAAGGTTGGGAACCTATTCAAGTTACACCATCGCACAGAGGTCAACATACTGTCATACCCACGTTCCCATGAGTGTTAACCTCAAAGTAAGATGTCAAAGCCAAAACACCTTTAGCATGGTACAGTACCCTAATTGTCTCTGAAAGTGATGATCTTCACTGGCTAGCTGGCTTGTTGGTAGGTGGTTGGATGTTGTTGGTTGTGTTGGAGTTGTCGCTCCTCCCTATGCTGCTCTCCATCCTGAGGGAGGAGGAGTTGAGTGTACTCCTCTTGAGGACTTTGTTAGCCAGATGGCTGCAGGTCTTCCTGTACTGGTGACGCAGCAGCGAGTAGACAAACGGGTCGCTTGCTGCCTTGCTGTAGGCCAAACATTTGGACAGCACACCCCAGTGAGGGCTTATGGGCCCTGGGGAGAAGACCTCTACCATTCTACCTCAAATAAAGCAAAAAGAGAAACAAAAGTCACACACCATCCATGAACAAAATGCAGCAGTTGAGTCAATTCTTGGATCAGTGTAACTGGAGTGGAAGACATCTAGAGCAAATGACCCTCCCCCAATGCTGTTATATTGTGAAAATGCCATCATTTCACTTCACTGAAATGCCATGACTATGTTGGGGAATGTGAAATTATGGGTGTCATTTTTTCTGGACTTCTTGCTGGCATTTTACAACAAATCCAGTGCCTGATACTTAGTTTATCCTAATAAATCAAATGAAAGCCCCGACAAAGTGTAAAAACAACCAGCGCGTTGTTTTGTTATTGATCTTTCTTTTTAATTTGTGAAAGTCTAACATGTCTCACTACCACACAGTTTCTTATGTGCTTCCTTTTTACTTCCAGCTTCTGACAGGTTGCCACCACCAATACCCGGGCTAATACTAATGAGAGCCAGTGATACGATCACCACCTCATTTGCTATCGGCCTCTTTCTCTCTCTCTCTCTCCCTCTCATCTCCCCAGTTGTGGAAGCTCAGTGACAAGGATTAGAAATGTGTGTAGAACCAATAAGCTATGACATTATGAAAAGGAAGCATTTAAATCGCCATCTGCATTAAGGCGATAAGCCAAGTAAAACCACATTAGCAGCCACAACAAGGTACGTGAAAACCCAGAGTCACTCTGTCAAATATACTAGTGTTGGTATGGTTGTTCTACTTATTAAGCTGGATGAGAAAATCATTTGAAAACTTTTTTATTGCTGAACAATATGAGCAAGCATTTATTTTCAATCTTTTGATTCAAAAGACATGAAAATGACAACTTTACATGCTTTGATGATACTGTACATGGGGTTAAAATCCTCACGCACAAAAACCCATATACATCATTATAAAACTTTGCTCACCTTGTAATGACATAAGGGGTGAAGCATACCACAAATGTGCCGATGAATGTACTGATCTTCTTGGTGGCTCTCAGCCTCCTCCGCTTCTGCTCTTCCAAGCATTTCTGGCGCACACTGCCAAAGCATACAGGTACCATTATCTACACAGGAGGCATGATCAGAGACATGCAGACATAATGAAGCAGTCCAAACACAGAGAAAACATGTGGGATGGATGTGAAAAAGCAGTGAACTGTGTGCTGTTATCTCTGAGGATTACATTGGAGAAATGTCACACTTCACAGATGATCAATCATGCAAATTGAGGGGGTGCAATTCAAAGTTTAATTGTTTGACTAAATCAGGATGAATAGAAATGCAAAACAGGAGGAAGGCTTTGCTGACCTTATTAAGACATTACAATGTAAACACTGACAAATAGCAGGCTTGACAGATCATCATCAGTGGACCACTTTAAATTCATGTGCAGTCACATAGAGGGATTTCCCAGAAAGTTTTGTGTATATACTGTATGTTTTTAATTAGTTCAGTCTACCTTTGACAGTGCACAGATGCAAATGGATAGAAACTACTGTATCCAATTTCATTATTGATTAATATTCCAGTTATTTTTGTAAATAACTGATTAACTGGTTAATAAAATGAATAGTGAAGAATATTCATCACAAATGTGTGTATATATATGTCATTTAAGAAAAGCAGAAAAGCATAGAACTGGAGCTGTATCTTCAGTCTTAACATAAATTGGAGCATGTTCTGATTTTGTCACAGGATCAACATGCTCCTAAAATGCTTTAGCCTACTGGACAAAATGAAAGGTTACATACACAAACATTTCAGCGATAGACAAACGCATGAGAGGACACATGGGTTTGTTTGACTGAATTCATGTCTAGTGATTGTTTACCTGGGGTGGATATCCACAAGCAGCACCAACGTCTGCATAGTGATCACGTCGATGCGTTTACAGTGAAACCTTGCAACTTTCAACACTTTCAGATACGTTACACACAACACGATCAGCGTCAGGAGGAAAGTGAGAGAGTGCAAAGCCACGGTGAAAATGATAAATTGCGTCCCGGTTCCCCTCGCCCTGACATTGCACAAAGTGCACGATGCGTAAAGGTGGTGGTACCCGATCCAAGAGCGGCAGGTGGCCACTGTGGAGAAGCAAAGTGAGTGTATCCACGTGTATCCTAGCGCTATCACTGCATCCCGGTGCCGTATTCTTGAGTGGTAGCTCAGCGGGAACACCACGGCCACCCATCTATCGATGCTGAGAGCTGCCATGCTGAGCATGGAGTTTGTGGTGAGAAAAGTGTCAAGGAAACCCACAGTTTGACAGAAGCCGCTGCCTCCGGGGTGGCCCTTGGTGATGAGCCCGATCAGAGTTAGGGGCATGCTGGACACGCTAAGTAACAGGTTGCAAAACGTCAAGTTGAGAATAAAAAGGCCGGGTACCTGTTTGCGGATCTCCGGGTTGTACAGAAAGCAGATCAGCACCACAACGTTGGACAACAGCGAGACGATAATAATCCCCAAAACCAACACGGAAGCAACTATGTCCGCTGCGTCCATGGTGCTTCCTCTCAAATATCCAGACTTTTGATAAGTGCATCCAGAGTCCTGATGCAAACTATCATCGTGAGTTGCAGTCACAACATATCCAGTACATTGTCATGCTTACCCTCCCCTAGCACCAAACGTCTTCAATAAACGAAGCGGTCCCTCCAACAGTGTCCACGGTTTGGTCGCAGGGAAATCATAGAGAATTCTCACCTGATTATTGTGAGGAAATTTGTAAGTGCGTTAATGGGAATGTGGCCAGAGCAGGAGGCTTGTTCTCGTGAGGCTCTGCGGTACTTTTCGAGCACCCTTGTCATACCACTGGTCTGACGGCTCAGGGTTTCCTGGCTGCGCAATTGCGCATTGACATGATGGCAGCTTTTAAAATAACATAAAAGTAGGCTAGTTAAAGCTTTCAGGCTACTTGTATTGCCTTCTCTGTCAGAGTCTAGAAAGCAGGTTGGTGCACCCCTGTTCAAAAATAGCTTTTTAGAGTAAAAATAGAAGCACGACGCACGATTGCGTGGCTGGTGGTAAGGCTGATGTCATGAGCATTACGTTGAACATAACAATTTTGGTAAGCAGATGTTTTGTGCACGTAGCCTATGTAGATCAAGTTCGTGCTGTGTAATTCGTTAATTAATCGGGGTTTTTTGAACGTCTGACTAGATTGAATCACATCCCCATCAACACTTAATTTAAATTTCTCAGCAGCAAACCCACGGCCCGGACGTCACTGCGATACGGAGCCCCAGAGCCTCATCAGTGCAGCGTTCAAAGCCTTATATGGCGCTTTAAACGGTGGCAGTGTATCTGGACTACTTTCATCCAGATTATTATTCCAGTGTAGCAGCACCACCGCCTCTGGCAATAATGTGTATGTATAGCCTCCAGCCCATGAGGACATGTGTTTAACACTTTTATAGCCTTTAGCTTTTAGATTGGTAGTACGATGATTTTTTTGTACACGTACAGTATATGTCAACAACAAATGATGTGCTGTTCTGTTTTTTTTTTTTTTAAATGAACTAAATGTAGCCTACAGCAGTGTGTATGAGTTTACTTAACTTAAATGAATGATAGAACCCTAAATGAAATGGGGAAAATCCAGTCTTTGTAGGCTGAAAAAAAAAAAAAATGCTTATATATATAGTAATATATATAGTTACAATATATATATACTATATATAACTATAACTATAACTATATATATATATATATAGTTATAATAGTTGGCAAAAATTTTGATTTTACTGCCTAAGTACATATAGTTGATCAGCTTTGCTGTCATTTCTGCAGGATTGTACACAACCCTTAAGGTCAGTAGGGGCCATAAGGTCATAAATAAGTGGAAGTATTCAGTAAGTTTTGTATTTAACATTTTAAGTAAAAGTAGGCTAGCTGGTGGCCTATTATGAGAAAATTTTAATGATATGGCCCCTGTGAGTGTTGTATTATTCACTTTGGCTATTATTATGGATGCATCTGAGCAGCATTTTAATATTGTAGCTAGAGATACTATATTCTATTGGGTAGTCAAATATATAGCAATGTGTCATATTTTATAAACTGATCATATATTTTGTATATTAAATCTGGATCTGCAAAGTAATTTGTAACTTTAAGTACAATATTTCCCTCTGTAAAGTAGCATAAAATGGAAATACTCAAGTACCTCAAAACTGAAGTCAAGTACTTTGTTATATTTCACCACTGATAATAACAAACAATGTGGCTCTGTGGCTGTAATTGTAGTTCCCTGCCCATCTACCCTTCACAATAACCTTGCTGAAATAACTTGTACTGGTTCTAAAACGTGATGCTTCAAGCGTTCTTCATACAACCCTGCTTTATGAAGATAACACAATTTCTACTTTTACATGCCCTGTGTCCAAGTAGAGCTTGAGTGATGATCAGAAGAATAACTTATTCAAATTGTGTCCTCTTTTCAGTTCAGTTAACAACCGACTCAGACACAGACTCTATACTGTAGTCTGTGTTGGACTCTTGCAGAGTGTTCTTTGTTTAAGCTTGTTATGAGTAAGCACATCGAGAGCAATGTATAATCCAGAGTCAAATTCCTTGTGTGTGTACATATACCCGGCAGGTAAAGGTGATCCTATCTGTTTGGTGATACCCAGTGAAAGAGTCTCAGGAACTGAACCTCTGAAGGGCTTCCTTGATCCAAATTCTTCATATATGTGTACAATTGATAATTTGTATAATTTTTGCATCATGAGTGTCCATACTGTAATTTTATTATGTTAGTCTATTCTGTACACATGACATCTATTGCATATCTGTGTGTTCTGGGAGGGATACCTCCTCTGTTGCTTGTCCTGAGGTCTCCATTTTTCCTACTTGTAAAGGGTTTTATCGTATCTTTGGAGCTACTTTGTGATATGGGAAATTGGACTCGGATTGGACTTGGATAAAACTGACTAGATTTCAGGCTGCAATAGCCTCTACAGTAGTATATGAGGTTCACATCAGGTATTGTGCAGCAATATTATTGATACCTGTACTAAGTAGTGAAGACCTTAAGAAAATGTGTTTTTTTCAAAAGCATTGTGAGAATTTGTGCCCTAAAGTTTATATATTTGTCAAGCAAGCAATGGATAGTGTAAAAATCTATTTTCCAGTGATTTGCCCAAATCAAAATCTTCCCACTGCAGTAAACTCCACTGATCTAGTGCTCCAATAGATTACAACAAACTATTATTTGATACAGGTGTCTGGTACTGGTGTCATGTCTGAGGCAGAGATGCATGTCTGCTGATCATCCTGCTGATGGGAGAAGACATGATACTCTGTCATCCTGTAGTCACTGTAATGTGTTGTGGTAGTGGGATGTGGGATCTACAGTGTAAACAAAGCAGAACTTACAGAATAAACTTACAGAATCAGCCTTTTCATGTGAAGACTATGATATATAACCATTACATTATATTAGACAGATAGCAGTTTCTACTTTCACCTATTCTTTGAATACAGAATAGACTCATTTACCACTGTCACAGACCACCATACATCTGAGCTCGTTGAAAATTTAAATTAACATGCTAAACTAAGGATGAAAGTTAAAATTACTCATTTGCAAAAAAAAAAAAAAAAAGAGAGATTTTCCTCATATTAGTTCCAGGAGCAAAATTAAAAGCATGGATGTGATCTATAGTGTTTAATTGAAAGAGATTTCTCTACTGTCTAACTACAAAGATAAGAGAAACCAGTCTATTTGTTATAACAGTGATCACATGTGCAGCTGTCTAGCCATCCTATAAATTATCAGTAATGACAAATTGACAATAGTGGCTGCGAAGATTTTCTAATTAGTTCCACAGAGAGAGAAGTTTTTCACCTCTGCCATTTCCACATAGTGAGAGAACAGATGGTGAAACTACATTGGATTTTTTTTTTACACAGCTCAAGTCTCTGCAGTGCTCCCTTAAATAGGATATGAGACTTTGAATTAATAAGGTGAAAGGTTACAGCTACACATGACCATACACATAATCCTTCAAATGCCTCTGCAGACCCCTGTAAGATGTTTCTTAACTGACATTTACAGCTGCTGTATTTTTATCTCCATAAACCCAGAAGTCATTGGAAATGCATTCCAAAACCATTCATTTATACTCCTAAAAAACTATTTCTCATTAGTTCTATATCACAGATCAAAATAAAGGTAATAAGATACCATAAGTTGAATAAAATGAACGTTCTTCTTTTGTTTTTGTTTGTAATGTGAAAATGTCTTTCTTCGATGGCTTTCCCCCTGGGTAATCAGCACCCCTCCCCACCCACTATGATGCCCCAACATATAGAGGCTTCTAAAATGGTTATAAAACAGCGAGAATAATAACTTTTCCAAACACAGTACAGCACTGTTTCTTTCACACCTATAATTCTGGGTTAGCCCTGCTCATTGGTAGCTGTGTGGCTGGTAATGACCATTCATATTCATACAGGTGAATAACGCGCATATTATAACCCAACACTCACTATCACTTGCATGTTTAGGCCGTTTCTTACCAGCTGACCTGACACTATCCCTGCGTTGTGTTTTGGACAACTTAATTAAGGAGAAAATAATCGCGTTGCACCACATGTCTTCTGCTATCGGCTGTCGGCAGTGGACAGCTGATTGTCAAACAGCGCTCACGTCAGATGCCAGGAAAGATGCCTGAGTTTCCCTGTGTGCTGCTGGACCACGACCATTCTGCCAGGGGCCTATATTCACCAGATTTGGACTCAAGTCTAAGCTAAGTTTCTGCTGCTGTGATACTGTTCATACTCATTCAACTGTTTTGGTTGATTTGGTTGGTTCATGTACAAGTTTTGGTTGTTTGGCAATGCTAGCAAGATTGCTATGGCTGAATGGTTGTTAGCTATTTCTTGGTTCAGCGTTTCCACTGTGCTGTTGCTGTTCAGATTCAATTTGCAATGTGCATGAATGGCATTTTAGGCCTCTGCATACTTACAGGGGATATCTGCTGCTGAAACTAAATATGTATTCATATGCATTGGTATTTATCAACAACCTCATGTATCAGTTCAGCTAATTTCTTGTGGTGTTGTCTGGCCTTGCTGCTAATATCCAGAGAGATACATTTTAAAACTGGATGGACTGATCACTTTTGGGCTTATGGTTTGAAGTTAATGTTGGGGGTTTCTTTTTGCTCATGCATGCAGTTCAAAAACAAACCATGCTAATGTGTAAGAAGTGCAAGAAGACTGCAACAACAAACTTATTTCACTAACTCAAGTAGAAGCACCCAGTTGAGTAGGCTACAAGGAGAGCCAAAACTCCAGCGAAGAGAGCTTAACAGCCAAGTTGGAAACCAAAATTATTTTTTAGTGTTCTGTCATATTGTATAATATCATTATTGCAGAAATACCCTGAAATATCGTGATATTATTGGAGGGCCATACCGCCCAACCCTATTCGGTTTATGGTGGCTCATATACTGAGTGTAATGGGACCTATAGCTGAACTTGTGCTCTTTTCTAATTTGGTTCTCTTTATAGTAGGAGAGGAGGCCTGGCTTGCGTAGGGACACATGTGTTTCTGTACATTGTCTAGGTACATTGTAGCTGGAGAATTTTTCCCTTGAATCAACATACTATTAGTATTTTACTGTATGTTCATCTGAGGTATTTTGTCTGGGCTACATCTCCCATGAAAGGAGGGAAGGACAAAACAACTCTGTTGTTTGGGGGTCTAAAGCACTACTTGCTAATAGTTATAAGCAGGTAGCAGTCATTTTGTTTTGGGGTAAGCTCTCAGCAGAATCCTTTAGGTCACTGCTCGGATTCATTGAGACGTCCCTCAAACAGCAGAGCTAAATCTGACTGTATAACTATTTGCTATTAATGGTCAGTTCCTTGACCAAAGTGTCTCTGACTGAAATCGATTTTTTTGGCTGCTTAGGGGGCAGCAGAGCAAGCTGTAAACACTATTGACATAATTTATGTTATATATTTGTCGTGGTGAATGTGTTAGTGAAAAACTAGCCTATATACCTATCTAGCAGACATATTGGCCTTACATTTGGTGACATGTCTCAGGCAACCCAATAAATGCAAGTTCCTGAAGCAGTGAAATTTTGCAGGTTAAAGTTTCCCATGGGCCAGATATAACATGCACAATGCTCACCAGTAGAATTTTCTTGAGGCTTTTA